CATGAAAAGGGTCTGCAAAGTTATAAAGTATAAAGGGTGTTATTCTCTATATCAGTAGGCTTTGTTTCTGAACTAATGAAAACGCATGATTGCAGTCTTGAGTTTTCTTACGGGAATGTAAATGTTACAATAATTTCGGTAACACTTTACAATACGGGTGCACTACTAAGCATTAATTCATGTTTAACTAATGCACATAATACTGAATTAATGTGTAACTAATGATTATCTAAGCTATTCATTAATGATTACCACATTAGGAACTAATTAATATAGTCTGTAAGTTTAATGTATTAGTTCATACATTAATTATTTTGAATTAAATATGTAATTGTGGATTTATATGTTAATTACCAGAATGAGCCAAAGCCTTGCATTTCAATTCAGATAATATGACAGGTACACTAATATGCATTAATACATGATTAATTACTTCATTGTTAGTGCAAATTCATGTGCAAATTACTACAATTACTAAATGACTAGTTGAAGAGTTCAGATGCAAAAGCCTCTAAATGCCATTTGAAATTTTCTTCTTTAATGATGATTGTGATTTCACTTAAATGGCAACGATAATTACCTATTAATTGTTATTTAAGTGAAATTACTGAACTTAAATATACAAGTTTGATAAAAAATCATCATTAAAGATGAAAATTTCAAATGGCATTTAGAGGCTTTTGCATCTGAACTCTTCAGCTAGTCATGATGATGACAAATGATGTGCCTCAACAAGTAAAGTCATAATGATAACCTTTGCAAATCATTAGCAATTGATTAATTAAAACAGACAACCGGAAGTTGAAGTGCATAGCTTTGACTAATTGTGGTAATTAACACATAATTTACACTATTAGTTAATAAAATATGTTATTAAGGAATTAATACACAATGACACATTGAATTAATAGCAATTCAGTTATTACTTAATCTATTAATCATATAGACTCTTTATTAGTTGCTGATGCAGTAATCATTAATTAATGGTTTAATTCTTTATTAGTTATACATTAACTCATGATTATCTGTGCATTAGTTAAGCATGAATTAATGCATATTAGTGCACCCGTATTGTAAAGTGTTACCATAATTTCATTTAAGTAATCCCCACCCAATGCATAGAAAAAAGGGGACGAGGCCAGGTTGAGTTGCATTAGTTGTGTGTTGAAACTTGAGGTAGTGGTAAGAAGCGTAACATTTCTATAAACACGCTTGAAACATTAGACCAATCACAACACACTGGTCCAGCCGACCAACCAGAGAACATTGTGCTTTTCAGAAGGAGGGGCTTCATAGTCATAGAGACTAGAAATAAACAGAGATTGACAGACTACAATGGGTAAAGAGATGCTGCAATAATGTACATTATGTGGAAAAACTTTTTTTAACATTCAAGCATGAAATCCCATTCTAGTAGACCCCCAAAAACAAAATCAAGGGCATAACAGGTCCTCTTTAAGGTGTGGTCACAAATTTCAGTGACATTTCACAGGCAGAAAAAAGGTCCATTGTCTATTGTCAACAGCGTAGCGATGTATGAAACACAGCTCACACCGTAGGCACTTTCAAAACTAGCAGTTTTGTGTTGGTCAGCGTGGTGAATTTACATGGGGAACATTTTTTGCCTCACACAAACGCATGATAGCACAGATTCTTATTGGAATGACTGTATTTTGCTAGCAAAATTAGCTGAGCAACAGTAAATGTTGCCGCACCTTTCTGTAATGTTCTTTTTCAAGACATCAACATTTTTGTACTTGGGAAATCAGTGTAGCGGAGAGTTATTATTGTATCAAAGGTTAAAACTGTTGGGGAAGAGAAATGACTCTCATTTGTGTCCACATCCACTGCTTAAAAACCCTAGGGGGGAATAGTGTCTCGCTCTTTTTTTCATGTCTCATATTCGATTTCTCTTTATTCCATTTTCTTTTTACTCCTCGTTCTCCACAGTTCATTCTTCCTTGTTCCTCATTTAAAACGCCTAAACAGAGTGAAACTACATAGTAACTGATACTGTGGTTGCATGCAAATTTTGTATAAATAACCAAGGAAATAAACTTGTGCGTCATCTCCTTTATTGCATGTTGCTGTAAGTGTATCTGATGCCCAGTGAAAAATAATTCATTGTGATGAATTTCTTCCCATCATTGTTCTTCTGCCAAAACAACCCTTCTCTTTTCAACAAAAACTGAAAATTATGTGGACCTCCATATCCGCTTTTGCCCGCATCCTTCTGGATAATTCTGTCCTCTCCATCTTCCCCGTCTCTCTACTTTGATTGGTTCAGCATCTCGGCCCAATCAGAAAAAGCTCGGCCCGCATACAAACCATGTGAAATTGAACTTGTGGTCGCATTACCAAACAATAGGATTGAAGCGAGAGTTAGTGCAGCATTACAGGCCAAACACAGTGTAGTGGTTGAATGGCCCATTAGCTTTTCTCACAGGGTGGTTCCCAGCAGGGTTTATTAATGACCTTAGAGTGCTAATGACCTTTCAGTCTTCACTTTCTCTCTACCTGTAAACTGATCCACCGAAAGCGACTCTATTGTCTGATTCTCAGGGCTCTCTGTATCACTCTCTCTCTCTCACACACACACACGCACACACACACACTTGTGCCATGGCAAAGTGTTACTACTGCCACCTTTCAGATTAAGAGGAGCTCAGGGAATATCCCATGTGATAAATCACTGTATTGACAGAAAAACATACACATTCTCAATTAGTCTGACCTTTGGAGAGGTGTTCTCCTGTATCACTCAGCAGAAACTGAAGTCCAGACAGCGAAGAAACACAACAAATGAAGAACAGAATCCTTATCTTACCTAAGTTTAAAGCAATTGATAAATGTTAGTCTGGAAAGAGTGTCAATGACAATAAATGCCATTAAAACATTTTTGTAGCACTGACAACTGGAGAAAAAGTTCTAACAGCAAATATCTATTTCTTCAAAGTCTAACAGAAATGAAGATGCCACGACAGGTCATTCATTTTATTGGATACTGTCACACACCAGCACTTGCAGTCTGTCTTCACTCTCATGATCCATCCTTACAGATGTTAAAGTCACAAGTACAGTTGTCTTCCAGGAGGATTTGAAAGAAAACTCACTAGAAATCTAGATAATTTTGGAGAGTGGAAACCAGGAGATATGCGGTATTCTGAAATGTCTGGACCAGAAAAATGTGTCTGCACCAAGAACCGACATCTTTTCATTACATTTATTACACTCTAAAAAATGCTGGGTTGTTTTAACCCAACTTTGGGTCAAATATGGACTAACCCAGCCGTTGGGTTAAATTTTTACATTACATTTTTAACCCAGCATTTTGGGTTTGTCCATATTTGACCCAAAATTGGGTTAAAACAACCCAGCATTTTTTAGAGTGTAAGCAATACTGCTTAAATCACAGACTTGAGCTCATAAACAAGTCACGTTATGATACATTATTTCTTTTGATGCAGGGGATTCCCAAGTTATATTACTCTTCTTTCAAAACATTGTTGTGAAAATCATAAATTGGTGCTTCATTTTTTTTTTACGGGAGAGAATAAGCCTTGTCATTTTCTGAGGACTTGGGGAAGAGTAATAATGCCTTCTCTAATTTGCACTGTCTAGAAACCCAGTCACAGGGAACTACATGGGGTAGGCTATATTTGAAACAAACACCTGGAACTTCTTCAGAACTACAAAGGCGAAGCAGAGAAAATGGGCTCCTGAAACAGTTGGTATGGATTATACAAACTTCCCTTCTCTCTGAGCATATAGAACGAGCTGGACCCCCCTGGAGATTTAAGTACACGCACATATGAACACATATGCAGCCGTACACATATGAACCATGCCCACAGGCTCATTGAGTAATGTCTGCTCATCATGGCAATACAAGCCATATGGACAGTTGTAAATAGTCTACATCTTTACTTTGATCTTGTGTAGGTCTGAATGTAGTTCTTTTTTTTTTCTTACATTGTATAAACATTTAAGAATAAAAAAAGAAAATCAGACAATACAACCATAACAGAAAAAAAAAGAAAAAAAGCAAGCAGGGGTAGGCTAACTCAAACAAGACCTAATCCTAGATGAATTATTACAGCAAGAACAATAATAATTATACACTATTCAGACTTGAGGAAATCCACAAAGGGCTGCCATACAGTTTGAAATTGGCGATGAGATTTGGACTCCAAGGAACGTATCCTCTCTAGTTGTATGACATGAATCAGTTCACATAACCAAGCTTTGAACGATGGAGAGTCTGACGATTTCCAGTTTAAAAGTATTGATTTTTTCGCAAGAGTCAAGCCCATCAATAGAGATCGTTGCTGAGATCTTGGAAGAGTATTCAATGTCACAGAGGATCCAAGAATTGCAAGACCATGGTCTGGTTTCACCTCCTTTTGAAAAACTTTTGAAAAAAAAATCAAATATTGCAGTCCAAAAATTAAACAGTTTGTGACAAAACGAAAACATGTGTGACAAAGAACCCTCCTCTGTTTTGGTCTGAATGTAGTTCTTAATTAAATAAAAAAATATAAATGCATATGGTTTTATTTAGAAATTCATACAACTACAACAAATAGTATGATTTGATACGTTTTCATTAAAATTAATTAATGCATTATGTATTATCAAATAATCCATTATCCTAATATTGGTTAATTTCATGTTTGTTCTTCAAAATCAGTAATACATATTAGTAATAAATGTTTTATAATACATTTAAATTTGTATAAATTAACATTAGTTAATGTATTATGGTCAAACATCACCTAAATTAACAAATGCTGTAAACAAGTTTATTGTTAGTTCATGATATCTAATGTATTGAATAATGTAAATAAACCCTGTTGTAAAATGTTAATGATCTTGCAAATAAGTAACGCATGTTCCCAAACGATACAACACATAAAATAATTATTAAGCTAATGCTTACATCGTGAATGCTTATGTGTGATTCGTAATCAAACTAAACAAAAATATTCAAGAGAATTCCAAAAGATGTATATATCTTTTATTTCAACGGCACATTTTTATGTCAGACAATATTACAAAACACTGAACATAGACACTGAGTATATAAATATAATTTTATTTACAAAACATTTACAAATGCAGCTAGCATTGTTCTTGAAATGTACAACTTATCAAAAAAAAGTGTATAATTTCCCACAAGCATAGCAAACAGCATAACATTAGTTTACAATAGCTACATCTAATCTTGATTTGGACTTGCTTCACCTCAAAAATGTGTGGGTTTTCAACATCCTCCTCCATTTTACCAGACATAACTGTACATTACACATTGTGTATAATGTGATCTTTAGTCTTTCCGACAGATGTACTGTACGAAAGCCACTGATAAGTGGAGAACGGATTATACGAGTCTCTCTGTGGCTCCAGGACAGGGAGGGACCTTTTCCACCAATTTCACATGCAGGCACAAAAGCCTAGCAAGACTTACAAGGCTAATATGCTTACAAATCAAATCAATACAAGTGCTTTCTCAATACATCTATAACTGTCATAATAATGTACAAAAAGCATAAACATTCATCTGTTTATAAAGATTAAGCAAACTATATGTGTACAACGCTTTTTGCAGAGCTGGTGTTGATCAACACCATCATAGAACGTTCATAATGGTCCCTGGTTCTCCACAGCGGAGTATTCAGCCTCAGACATGTGCGAGGCATCGATGAGCCTAGCGAGGCCAGTTTTGGTAGAGTACTTGAAGATGAAGGCTTTCATGAGGTCGTAGCGGTAGTTCTTGTTGATGAAGTTGTAGATGATGGGGTTCAAGCAGCAGTGAAGGAGGGAGAACCACTGAGTGAGATGCAGTGCTGCATAGAGAGCGTTCTCCAGAGTGCAGTTAAAGGGCAGCACGTTGAGAAAGGCTAACGTGTCAAGCAGTAGAGCTCCATGGTAGGGCACCCAACACACTAGAAAGACCACAATGTAGGTGAAGACGAGGCGACGGCTGATGCGACGTTCCTGGTCAGCTGAGGGTTGGATGGCACCGGCCAAGAGGGCGTAGAACACGGCAATTATAGGGAAGGGAATGGCAAAGCCGAGCATGAAGAAACTCATTTGGATGCCAACTGTCCATTCCTTAGTGGTGTCTGCTGGGAAAACAGACTTACATACGATGCTGTCTGAATACCTGGATTTCTCAGCCTGAAGGAAGTATGTTTCAGGGAGGGCGGCAAAGAGTGCCAGCAGCCAAACGCCCACACAGATGAGCTGTCTGGTCCTTCTCTTCTTCTGACTGGGACCGTCTCCAAAAAGTTTCACGGACAGGTAGCGGTCCACACTCATGCATGTAAGGAAAAAGATACTGCTAAAAAGGTTGACGCTGAAGATCAGGTGTGTAATTTTGCACATGGCATCACCAAAAGGCCAGTGGCCGAGTTGAAGCAGAGAACTAATGGAGACCGGAAGAGTGGCCACTACGCAGAGGTCAGCGATGGCTAGGTTGAGGATATACAGGTGAGTCTCGTAACGTTTCCTCTCAGATCGCACGTTCACCCACACCACCAGAGCATTGGCGGCGAGGCCGATGATGAAGAGGAAGATGTAGAGCACAGAGAGGGCGTAGAGCAACGCCTTCTGGCTGAAGGTGCTGTGACACACTTCAACATGGGAGACATTATCGTCAAGAGTTGAGAAGTTTAGGTCGTCGCTTCCAAATGCTTCCAAAATGTCACTGAAGTCATTCACGTTCACACTCATCTTGCCACGTCTTTGTTATTGCCGCTATTGGGACACAACGGCTGTGACCTGAAACAAAAAGAGAGCCACTGTTATAACACGTAGACAGAAAAAAAAAACATGAACGGGACCAATTAAACGCAGAGGGACTGAAAAATTTAAAACAAAGATTGTTTATTGATAAAACACACAATCTGAAACATGTTGAACACCAGGATCCCTTGTCAGAGGGCAGGACCTTGTACTGTTTGAGAGGATTTTTTCCCCCCAAATAATTCAGTCCAAGGGTTTATTACTGGACTGCGCTTAATTTATTTACTGCGCTCAAAAATCAAAGAGTGAAAGGACAATGAGTCAAATATGAAAAAATATATTAAAAATATGTTCCAAATTCTTAGAAATGTGCATCATGAAAACTTTCAATTTAATGACTCTAAAAATGTAATGTGGTGTAACCATCAAGCAAACAGGAATAACATTTTCCTTTCACCTTGAATACATCTAATTGTACACAACTTAATATAATTCTCAATGTAAAGTTTATTATTTCAGATATTAGGGATATCTTATTCTAGCCTGGTTAAAACGAGACCATTCTCAGTTGTAACTGAGTTATGGTCTGGCAAAGCGTCATAGACAAATCATTTCCAGAGGGGTGTCACCAACGGACGTCGCGGGTAGACCTAAAACCAATCAGAGCGATGAAGGACATGACGTATGCAGAGCGGCGGCCGGCGGTGGCACTCTCCGAGTGTTGTTCTTTGCTCGGTTTTTAACAAAAAGGAAACGTTCAAATCACTTAAAACAGACTCGATAGCTAATTTGAACGAGTGATGTTCGACGGCGGCATCCATCTTTGTAATGTAGGCTACAAAATCTGCTTCAAAATCCCAGCGCTGTCGTCATCGTGTAAAGCCCGCCCCAACGTTTCTGATTGGTGCCGCGATTTCGACGAATTGGAAATGGGCTTGAATGAGCTCTTTGCCAGACTAACTTTCAGAGCAAATCTAAATTTGCCGGAAGTTGTCTGGGTTTTCCCAGGCTAATCTTAATCACAAATATTATCGCACCACATGATGTCATTGTACAATTTGAACCACCCTTGCCTTGTCTTAAAAAGGTCATATGTTCTAATGTTTAAGAAATGTATTGACCTTAAACAAACAGTCCTGAACATCTGCACGTCCACGTTTCTGCACATTGGCTGCACCACGCTCTCTATGACTGATTTAGCGGACAAAGGTTTTGCAAATAACATTGAGCCGTGAAGCAATTTTGTTCAGAATTTATTTTAGTGTTACTTCATTGTATTGACTGTAATAAAAGTGATTCAGTGCTCAAAGGCTGTGCTGTACTGCTTTGCTGAACATAAGGACTAAATGCCTGGCAGCAATACTCAGATGGTTGAGCAAAAGCTTATTGGCAGACCTCAGTTGTCATGCAGTGACCTAGAGAAAAGCTAAGTAGTTATCCATGGCAAATTAAGGCATTACAAAAAAGTTCAGCACAACCAACAAGCCAGATGAGTGAGTACAATGATAGTGTAACTCTCCTGAAGGCATCAGAGAAAGACTAATGCCTGTTAGAAGTGAGATAAGTCATAGACGGAAGGGAGGATGGGCGGCTGCTGCTCCCTCTGCGACACATGGGGTGAAAGGTTCTTTTCTCAAAATGATATGCTCAGCTTGAGGACTGGATGCCAGGCTTTGAACTGACAAAAGCTAAAGAGAATAGAGAACCACCAGACTGGCGCTGTGTCAGAGTTTGTACCGTTTACACATTCTCAAACACAGATGTACACACATCTCTAATCACACTGTTTTGATCTTCAACCCCCAGGGTTTGCAGAATAGAAAAAAAAAAAACACTGGCACACTTAAGCATGCTTTTTAAAACTAAAAACTTTGTGCAGTGGAGCAAACATGGAGAATATTAAACAAAATATCTGTTTACAATTGGCATAAAAAAGAAGAAGATACAACTATAAACTTGTTGTGTTTAGCTAAAGAACCATCAAGTGATAGAATGAGTTTAGGCTTGTTTATTTTCATTCCGAATCAACCCAAGGTTCTGACCCTTGAACACGGTTAGCGCCCGACCTTAATTTCATTAAAAGAAATATGAGAAGAGACACAGCTGCTCTTAATGCATCTTGTGATCTTTACTGCAAGATCCTCAATCGCCTCCAAAACAAAGACTTATTTTACAGCTTTCCACTCGAGTCGGACATCATTATACTAGAGACAGCGAAGGCAGCGTAAAAACCACTGACCTGATTTACCAGGTGCAATTGAAAAAATCAGGTGCCATAAAATGTGACGGTCCATTACAGACGGCCCCAAGCACCATGTCCCCCAGCCTTGTTGTAAAACTGTTGCGTTTACACTGCTCAAACACAGCGGCACCCTCACCTGATCTCACGGCCCCAGGCATCAAGCACACTTGCCCGCACAAAGACTTAGCTGTGCGGACACAGCGACTCTCCCTGCAGCCCCCCTCCTTCCACTTCTCTCTCTCTCTCACTTGAAGTCTTAAAGTTTCCTTGAAACTCAGCATTCACTCAAAAGTGGTTTGCAAGCATGAAATGAGGGAATTATCAGTCATGGTCAAAGACTGAAATCTTGTACTGAATGTGAGTGGGGGTAAAAATATATCAACAATACAAGGAGTAAAACAAATCTTTGAAATTGAAAACATGCTGATCATGAAATTGGAAGGAAACTATACCAAGGGAATTTAAATCAATTAGTCCCACATAACATGTGAATAAAAAAACAGAAATACGTTTGTATATAAATGTTAATATGTTTCTGTTTATAAATAGATAGATTAATGCTAAATAAAATCATGTAAGAAGCATGAGTCAACATTTTCAGAAGGGGAGAGAGTCAGTTTAAGTGGCTAAATGCTGCATTATTTAAAACCACCTTTGGTCCCAAATTTTGGAGAAAAAAATTATAATTCTACGCGATTTCACTGTACCTCAGTCAACAAACAGCATCAGTATTTACATGAAAGGATTCACAGGAACTGATTCCTGCTCCAGAAAACAAAAAAGACCGAACTAGTCTCGAAAGAGACGAGAGAAAAAAGTCCCTTTACCTCACCCTGTAGACACAATACTGCATCCTACTCTAAAATATGCATTTAAATTCATTTATTCTAAAACAGCATTCACTTGTTAGTTACATTAGCCTAAATATAATATCACGTTGGTAGCCTAATAGAGTGACAAATCCGCGGGATTGGACCTTTCCACGGCACCATAGGAGTTTTGGACTCGGTAAATTTGTGAAAAAGAAAAAAAAAGATATTTTTTAAGTAGGCTACCTTAACCTTCTAGAAAGTTACGTGAGGTTTCAAGACCGCATTTAAAACTGATATCTTGTAACACCTTGTATCATTACTTTTACGTTTACCATAGTCCGGTGCGAGTAGGCTATTGAAAAAGGTTGCATTTAAAAACTAAAATCTCTCACACAAACACGTTCACACACAAACAGGACTTTACAAATTAACTTACAATCCTTGTGGTCTGTTTTGGTGCTCCTAGACTTTTAAACGTAGCCTTTGGTATCGAGATTCCGATGCCTGGAGAAAATGTTAACGTCTTGGTTATCCGTACGAGAGGATGGCGTGATTGTCCCTCTGCGCTCTGACTGCACTTGCTCATATAGTGCTGCGAGCAACGCCTACCGAACGCTATCGGAAAAGTGAATCACTTCAAGTTTCTGTCCAACAACAATGTGAAAAGCGGACGTGGGACACATCGGATTTCCACTCTCATTTTAAACAGCGATATAAACAAAAAAGCCTGTTCCGATTTAAAAATACGCCTTTGTGTTTTGTTTTCACACGAGAGTTTGGAGAAATCAAAGAAGCATATTCATGCGAAAGTTTCATTGAGGAGTGGACTTCCACAGTTTCATGGGCTGAAACGTGCTTCATGTCACATTCTCAATAAATATTATTTGCACTAGGCCTATTCAATGTAACACTTACTTACGTAACTATGCTGTAACATTCTATATTGCTAACATATCATTTCCTATATCTTTTCAAAGAGTTTGTAATATCGTTGGCTATAGAATAGCCTGATAGGCTATTTCAAATTGGAATGATCTGTTAAGCATTAGCTATATGGTTTAATGACTAATTATAAATTAGACTATTATACTATTATACACTTATTATATCATATTACCGGTAAAAGGACTAGTGCCCTATTAATTTAATTTTAAATGTTTGATGTTTAGTTGCTTCAGGGTAAAGTCTTTTATTTATGTATCTTGATCCATGCTGTAAGTAGTAGCAGGTGAATGTTGTTTTGTTGTTTTTCCTGTGTTCCATTCTTTTTGCATCCTCTTGGCAATCCCTCAAAGACTTCCAAGCAGTTTGCTAAATTTAGGCATGAGGAAGCTCACCTGTTCCGAATTTTCAGCTGGCCTCTGTTTAGCTTTATATTTTTCTGGATAACGGCCAGTGCCTATTGTATGTGGCTTGGAAAAGTGGAAACTGAAATTAAGCGTGCCTAACAATATCAATGAAGTCTTGATGAGATAAATTGTTCAGATGGGGTGAACTGATGGATTTGATTGTATAGACATAAACACTAATAGTGCATTGATCCAACTGCTAAACATAATTTGACTTCCTTTTAAATGGAAAAGAGATAAGCCAGATGAATGCAACTGTAATCACAACACGGAAAGTGTAAAGACTTTGCCAGCATTATATTTTAATTGCGATAATAATTTGGACGGAGATGGATCAATGTGCTTATGCATGTAAACATATGAATTCAGTTGGAACACCTGCCTGAACAATACACATCATTTAGGGAGCCACCCCTGAAATGGGGAAACACACTTTAAGCATAACAGTTTCCATATTAAAAGCAACTTCACACCAGACTCAATAACAAACTATAGGTCAATGCTCTCTGTTTGAAGATTCTGACCATGCAGTGTGGAAACCATCAGGTCTTTTTGTGAGAAGCATGCAAAGAAATCCAGCAGTTGAAAGACATTTGGTTTTAGTTATAGGGGCGTAGGCTGGTAAACTGAGACATGTTCCAAATTAAAGATTGTTAAATGCTCTTTCCATCTTATTAAGTTTTTATTTTATTAAGTCTGGTTATTTTTTGTCTGGAAAGGAGAGGTTTTCACAAAAGACTAATAGTTTTGCATTAGAATGCTTATGGGGTGTCTCTAAAACAAAAATTTAACAACATTTCTTGACAACCCCATTGTTGTCAGTTTTATTAACAAACTTCTATCAAATGCAAGTAGTTTACTTCCCATCATGCATTGAAGGGATCATCCCAGCAATCAGGGAATATTCTCAGAACTTTGGCTAACGTTATAGCATGGTTCTCTAGGCCTATATGAACAAATGTTCTGCAGTAAAATTAATGTTTTTCAAATTATCTGGTCTTTAATGTATGTTATTTATACATTGTTCATAGAGCATTTTTAATGGGCTACATGCACGCACAAGTTCCGCATTTGACGCAAGGATGCTCATACATTTCCAGTTGTGGAGATTTAAGCGGAGGAAAACCGAGGAAAACGGGATTATGGCAGAGTCTTCAAAATTTACCGTCCAAACGTACATACATTTAGATGTAATTTTATATATAGTTATGTTTATTTAATATAATTTAAAAAACAATCATAAACACAACGATGGGTGTCTGTTTTATCTATTTTTGTGACTAACGTTTCTTTAGTATAACCATGGAGTATAAAATTCAATATAAATTCTCGGAATTGCATTGGACTCTACGATCGGCGGAAGTTATCGAGCTTCCTTAAACCTTCACCGGAAGTACCTCCGTGCATAGAGCCCATTGGAAATGTATCTATATTTAAACCTTACCAAAGTACATTCTAAAGTAATTCAAAATGAAAGGGAAGGCTTACTGCGCTTCTGTAAAATGCCAAACGATCCGGTGCAACCAGAGCAGGACAAGACCAAACAGAAAGGGAGAATCACCGGTGCAGAAATCTTCTTGGTAACAAATTTATTAAAGGTGCAAAACTTGACTAACGTTTCGATGTCAAACTACATCTTCATCAGAGTGACATCGAAACTGTGCGTTTTGACCATTCATTTACACAACAACTGCGTTTTGGGGTCCTGGAAACGCAAAATTCTGAACATGGGTTTGAGGCTCCGTTTACACGAAGGGAAAACGCAGATATTTCCCTGCAGTTTGGCCTCTCGTTTACACGAAAACCCCGTTTTTATCACAGAAAACGATTATTTCTAAAAACTCCGGCCAAAGTGGAGATTTCTGAAACACCGGTTATGTGTTGTCGCGTGAACTGGGAGAAACGGCGTTTTAGCTTATCTCTTGTTGATTCTGAGGTTTCTGATTGGCTTGCATGGGTTTTTCCTTCTCCCTACACTGCCGCCAATAGGTTTGGCATAGTTATGATGGCGCTCGACGGCGTATTTATGCGGGTGTGTGTGAACGATGTTATTTTTGAAAACGGAGAGGGGGAAAATATTCGTTTCGCTAAATACCCGGCTTTGTGTAAACGTGGCCTTAAAGTGCAAGTTTTAAAAACGATATCGTCATCTTCTCCATGTAAACTTCGAAAACGCAAATTTGTGAAAACGGTGATGTCATATCATGTGTATTATGTGTTCAGTCTATAGGCGAGTAGTTTTTCTTTACAAAGTAAATTGCCCGGCAGCAAAATACAGCATTTTCATCATTTTCGCGGATTCAGGTAAATGGGGATAATTTAAAAAAAAAAAAAAAGTGTCATATTTACGCGAAAAACGCCAAAGAAAAATGTAGGCCTTTTTCATAACTTAATTAAGCAAAACGTTCTATAATATATTTTAGATGGGAAATACCACTCTTTTAAAAACTATTATCCATGGTAGGACCACCAGGAAGGGAGACAAGGACAAATGATGCATCCATTGATAAATAAATTCCACACTGCACTTCGTTTACACCTGCCCACATGGTCCTTCAATAGGCTACTGAATTCAAACAACATGTCATAGACCACATGCAAATGAATATAGCTTAGTCTACTCACAAAATCAAAATGACAACAATTATTTCAAAACATGCAGCGTCAGAAAGACTCTTCTAAATGGCCGAATAGTATTAATACGTTGAATGAGCTCAGCAACGCAAGCGTGGTTTTGTGTTGTTTTCCATAGCGGGGTGCCAAGCTAAAGCTTGTTAGTAACAGAGACTTGACATGCTTATCGGATAAGATAAGAAAACGAAGAAAATTACCGACTAGAGCTCTCATCATGTGTTAGAATCGCATTATGTGTTATAGTTAAGTTGATAGAGTATTGTATTCTGAGTTTAACTGGTTGCATAATGCCCCCTGCTCTGTCTCAGAAGCAGTGAAGAGGCTTTGATCTCGTTGCCATAGCTGTCAGAAGCTCAGCGCAAACCGCAGCCTGTCTGGCGCGAGACTCGTCCAACTCTAGTTAAAAATGGTTAACTAATGAATAATCAAGACTTACTGCTTGGATGCCTTACTTCGCTTCGCTTAACTATTTTAGTTTCGAAAGCAGCGGCTTGCAATTATGTTTTCCCACTGATATTCAAATAGCCTACAGCACGTTCTAAACTAAACTCTGTAGCGCGTGGAATCACTAAAGATGTCGCAGAGGTGAGTGACTCTGCCCTTTTACCTTGTGCACTTTAGTGCGAAACTGGAATGTTGATGTGATGCCAAAAAATGCCATAGTGTTATTAACGAAAACCGTGTAATGTCTGAAAACTGTAATAGTGTTATGTAGCCTAGTGAACAGATACGCTACTTAAGTTACATTTGTAACGAGCAGAATATTTTGCTTTTATTTAGATAATAATTCTGAGAAAGAAAAAAGGGAAGGTGCAGAAGAAAGTGTTCTTTTAAAACGCAAGTTTGGGAACAAACGCCTACTAGGAGAAAGTCCACATTGTATTGCAGTTCCTATGACAACATAAAGCAAAACCACTGAGAACCAGTATTTTTGTCCCCACGCTATTCAGAGATCAGCTTTGGTGTGTGGTGCTGCTGCTTATTTTTTTTTAGTAACCTTCACAGTTATTTTTTTTTCTAAAGCAAATAACTCAAGTTAGTAGTTCTGCACTTGTCAAAAAGAAAGCACATTTTAAATTCCTGAAAAAAGTAATTTTCCCCATCAAGCACTACTTTCAGGGGACATTCATTTATTTACTGCAGATTTCAAGTGAATTGCGGTACTTCTGCCTTTGTTGTCCGCCATATTTAAGATATATCTAAGAGTCGCCTCTCTATTTTATTGTAAATGTTCTTTTACAACCTCCCTTCTAACCTCCTCCCACAACTCCTCCCCTGCCCCCCTCCCACTCTAACTATCCCATCCCCTCCTTTGATTTTGCCATCCCTACAATTTGAGTAGCTCTTGGCAGTGTTAATGCCCAGAGGGGAACAATACTGTATGGGCCCATCAGAATAAGAAAAGAAGGTGGTTTCACCCTCGCCATGAACTCTTTCAACAATCACAAAGGGAGCACCCACACGCAAGGGAGTCAAAGAGGTCAGAGGACATCTGTGGAATTCGTGCGTATTCAACTTTAGAAAACGAAGAATGGAGAAATAATGTTTGTCAGGGGATTTCTTCCATTATGTGGCTTAATATGCTGACTTGGGGTGAATTCAGTGTGCATTCTGTGGTTTTTCCACATTCAGTTTGCACAGTCAGACATTGACTGTGCTAATTTTGGCCTGAGGGTTGGGAAAACTTTCCCAGAGGGCAGGTACTCTCAACAGGTGTAATTGGTGCCCGTTAACAGGTACTATCGCAGATTTACGTGGCTCTGTTGATTGCATATCAAAGACAGGTTGTCATGGAAGGCCATGGAAATGTTCAAATTTAGAAAACACGAATAACTTGATTTCTCAATGCATAAATACAAAGCTGTGCACCATTATTAAGTACACGCGAAAAAATAATCTTTGTTTTATCCAAATAATTAATTAATCATTTGATCTCATTAAGCTATCATTATTACCTAAATATAATCTTTTTCCTTTACCCAGTTCTTATGGCCGAATGTGGGATGCTGCTCAGGGAGCTTTGGAGTACCTTTTGGAGGATGAATATCCCACAATGCAACTCCATCCTCAAAAGGACCGCATGCAGGTTTTTCAGACATTGGCCACTTTCTATCTGCGCTACCTGAAGATATTCCGTGCCCTGGAGGAGGTTTACGATCAGCTTGTTCACCCCCAGAAGAGACGGGTTGTGCGCCAGGTTCTTGAAGGGGTGATGGGACGACTTGTAGAGCTGAAGAATGAGATGGTGGAGCTGGAGTTCTCAGAGTTTCACTACTTTGATGACATATTGCAGGACTTCAAAATGACACCTGTGAGTGAAATAATAAAAATACACTTATAGGTATAGAATGCTGGGAATGTTTTGGTCTGTAAGATTCAGAAAAGTGGGCCTTGAGGGAATTTTGAAGATTTGGGCTTGAGGAAGATTTAAGTGCTCAATGTCAAAGTGGATTTTAGCAGACTAAGCCTCTTGTTTTTCCTATGAATCTCGTCTCCTATAGTGGATGCGAACTGGAGTCAGTTCAGGGCTGAAAATAGTTTGAAATTTGTTTTTAGGAGGATCTTGAGGTGCCTATCCCACGCTATTTTGTGAGGGAGAAGATGAGGGCACTGAAAGAGAGGGAGAAGATGTTGGCCCATATTTTGGCTAAAGGAGGATGTCAGGAAGATAAAACTGTGAGTATATCATTATGTAAAATATTCTCTCAATACAAAAACATGCAATGCAAGCTCAAATAATGGTTGTACCAAATGCAGTACACACTTCATGTTTGTGCTTCTGGTTTCTCATTTAGCAGGTGCCAGTTTCGTCCATGTCTATAGAGCGGGCAATTTGGCTGCTACAGGTCAGTGAGCGAGCACGGCAGGGAAGACTGAGAGCTCGCTTCATGAAGGCGATTCTGCAGGATGAACAAAGAAGACTTCAGAGTTCAAGCTCTAGCATATTGGACCCTGACCGTGCAGCCACCTGCATTCAGAAGGTATCAGGAAATCACTTGATTTTCAACTGTGAGTTTGCATTCCAGTGAAATCACTGATGCATTGCATGGATGGGTTTGAAATTGGCAAAACAAAGGAATGATGAGGAAAACTTTCATGCTGTGAAATGATACATTTTACTACTTCTTTTCTATTACAATGATTGCACAAAATTCAAGGAATAGTTCACACAAATATGGCAATGCTGTCATTATTAACTAACTTTCATGTTGTTTCAAAATTGTACGGCTTTCTTTCTTCTTCTGGAACACAAAAGAAAATATTTTGAAGAGCTGTTTTTATCCTAAAGGACATAAACCTAGAGTGCAATTAATGTTTTGACTGGTATTCCAAGTTGTTTCTCAAGCAAGTATCACATTGTAATATGAACAGATTATATTTAAGCCCTCATTCACTCTCGAAATCAAATTAATTTACTCAATCAATGCATGGATGCACAGACTACATAGAAAGTGGAAACATAAACCAGAAATTTGAAATATACCAGTTGGGTTGTATGGATTAATTGTATGCTTTATGTCCTAGTTCGAGCTTGAAAGTTTTGGATTCCAGAACATGGCCTTACTTTGAGTACATGGAAAAAATAATGAAACAAACAATCTTTGTAATATCGTTTGTGTTCTGCAAAAGAAAAACAACTCTGTAAATAAAAAAATAAAAAACCCTACATATTATTTTTACGGTAACACTTTACAATAAGGTTCTTTTATTAAACATTAGTTAATGTATTAACTAACATGAACTAACCATGAGCAATACATTTGTTACTGTTTTTGTTAATTTTTGTTAACGTTAGTTAATACAAATCCAGCTGTTCATTGTTTGTTCATGTTAGTTCACAGTGCATTAACTGATGTTAACAAGATTTTAATAAAGTATTAGTCAATGTTGAAATTAACAAAGATTAACAAATGCTGAAGTAGTATTGTTCATTCTTAGTTAATGTTAACTAATGAACCTTATGGGCTATATGCACGCATAAGTTCCGCATTTGACGCAAGGATGTTCGTCCATTTCCGGTTGTGGAGATTAAAGCGGAGGAAAACCGAGCAAAACGGGATAATGGCAGAGTCTTCAAAATGTACTGTCTTCCCGTCTTTGAAACGAAACGCCCATACGTTTAGATGTAATTTTATATATAGTTATGTTTATTTAATATAATTTTAAAAAGAAGCATAAACACAACGAGGGGTGTCTGTTTTATCCGTTTTTGTGACTAACGTTTCTTTAGTATAACCATGGAGTATAAAATTCAATATAAATTCTTGGCATTGCATTGGACTCTACGATCGGCGGAAGTTATCGAGCATCCTTACACCTTCACCGGAAATACCGCCGTGCATAGAGCCCATTGTAAAGTGTTACCATTTTTACTTTAATGGGACCTTTGAACTAGGATTAGGCCCTTTTAAGTAGCTTTTTTTTAAGCGTGCCTTAGAAAGCATAACTGGTGTGCATCAAAACAACAAAGCAATGGCACTGCATAGTTTAAGATATGCCAGTGCAAGTTGCTTTCAGTTAAGACAGTTCAAACGAGTCACAAATACTAAGAAATATGAGTTACTTGTACATAAAACCCATATTTAATCAACAAAACTCACTCAATCGTTGTCCCAACTAGTAACACACATTAGTCAATCATTTCATATTGAGAAATGTTGTCTCAGCAACAGCATGCACTGCAGCATGAATAAATTATGCAGTTACTGTTAGTATTATTGTTTTGAGTAAAGTTACAGCACACAAACTACACAATGTCATCAGAGTAAGCTAGATGGCTATCGAGGAAATAAAATAAATATCCATTATGGTCCCTAAGATGATACATACATCATAACATTACATCAGTAAATGTATCATTTTATAGATTGATTTGTGATGTTCTAGCATCATACGCAAGGGAGGTAATGTCTGCTGCCCTACCTGTGCATGAACTCAAATGTGGAGGTCAGGCCATCTCCTTTCACACTCATCAGTTGTCACATTTGACATGTAGTCCGCACACAAAGGACTATGAATGACATGTGATCCCATCCAAGCATAATAGATATATGTCCACCTCATCTGTGGGAATAGTGCGCTTGTAGGCCCTTTGGCAGGATGAGGGAGATTAGCATTGGAGTGCTGAGAGATGGGAAAAGGAAAGAATTCCAGGATTTTGGGAGTTATTTTTCAGTGCCATCCTAATCATGAAATCTGATCTCATGTATCCTGACGTCTTTTTGAGCGAGTGTTCGCTACGGTTGGTGAACCCAGACATAGATGTAGCCTGAAAGAGATTGCAGATATGATTTTAGAGATCTGACATTTTTTTACATTGCAGGTGTGAAACTGACATTTCTGAGTGAAATAGTACAGAAAAACATAGACAAGGGGCCCTGTTGACAAACACTGAAAGTCGTTGGCATTCTTATTATTATTAGGGGCCAAGCAATTAAAGTGCGTAGGCACCTATTGAAATCATTGACGTTCTTATTATTATTATTCTTCCGTTTCTTCTTCTTCTTCCGCTCTGGAAGTCTATGGCAGCCCATAGAACCACTTTCAGGAAAGTTATGAAATGTAGAATTTTCAGAAAAAAAATACTTTTTTGAACTTATCCTAGGCGGTTGCTCCAATTTTTATGAAAATTAAACCAGATCATCTTCAAACCATGCCGACGGAATTCAAGTAGATTTTCAAGTAGAAACAAATTGTATGTAGCGCTTGTGAAAACAGACTTAAGGCTGTATCTCCGCAAGTGTGTATTCATACCAAACTTGATACATGTCATCATAAGCATGACTTGAGGCGACATGCTGCGTTTCGGTGCAGCGCCACCTACTGATCCGGAGATACCAAAAATGTATATATTTATATATTAAATATTTTTTGCTAACTTCTGAACGGTTTGTCCAAAAATCATAAAAGTGGTCTCTTTAGATTTGGGGCATCATGCCATTTTGAATTTTCAAATGCTGTATTTTATGAAAGCATTAGCATATTGCTTCGTAACAATACGCTAATGCGCTCATAAAATACAACATTTTGGTTTTCGACACGATGCCATGAAAGAGTCTTAGAAGTTTCAGACCTGCACCACCTAGTGGGAAAATATATTTACATGCTATATGCTACATGCACAATAAGTTTGGATGTGGTCGACTTATTTTCCATCTCTTAAAATTCCTGAACCCTCGCCGAGTCAAATGATACCAAACATGCTAGGTTTTGCCTTGAGTTGGGATTTGGTGCTTACATTTTTTTTTTTTTTTTGCAAATATCTTCAAAACTGTTAGTCCGATCGAGACAAAAGCACTGTAAGTAATTCGGAAACATAGTTTGTTGTTTATATGCTAGTGCCCAAATGTAAAAAAAATGGATAGTAATTTGCAAAAAAAAAAAATCCAATCAAAGTCGCCTGTGGGTCCTTTTTATGCACTTTTTATATAACTCCAAAACAAAATGAGATATTTTCACCAAATTTAACTCACACATGAATGGGCTCACTCTGAGAGCACATAGAAAAAAAGTGGTGGAACTGTGCCGATATTAGTTACGATATTAAATGCTACACTTTACAAATGCATATGTGTACCATTACATAACTTGGTATGTGGCCTGAAAGTACTGAAAGGTCTTACTAGATCTCTTGGGTCAGGTCGAGAACATAGAAACCATGTTTGCCATATTTGGCTGTACTTCCTGTCCGCCTTCATGATTTTCATTCAATACCTAATTTGTCAAACTCCTCCTAGACTTTTTGTCTTATTTTAACCAAAGTCGAATCATATCATCTATAGATCGTGCCGACTAAAAGTTATGGATTTTATATTGGTAGACAAAACCATTTTCATATACCGCAGCAGCAAATTTGAAGAATAATGACAAAATGACTATTCAGGCTTTATCCCTGCAATACCTTGACACAATACCAAACTTTCTATGTGTCATTGTCACCTCACTCTGACCACATCACTTAAATTTTGTAACTACGCCACTTATTGGTCACATTTTTATAATTTTTCAGCCATTTTGCCTAACATCATCTTTAATTGCTGTTGCAGTTGGTCTGACACTCCCAGCCATGTTGGCTTGTCTTATTGTCTTCTTTTCACTTGGCCCCAATAATGGCTGTTTACAGCTATATTCGTGTTTGGTTCTGTCATTCTAAGTTGACCTAATTTCTATGTCTGTGCCTGTTTGATTCAGTTCACCTGTTGTTGATTAATCAACACATTAGTTTCCTGGTTTAGGCCCTGTTTACACGAGAACGCTCGCGGGTAAAAATGTAAAAATATTTTATCGGATGTGCCTTTCATTTACACGGCGACGGCGTTTTTGAGGCTTAAAAACGCAAAAAAGTGAAACCACCCTCCAGAGTGGAAATCTTAAAAACGCTCCACAGCCGCGTTCTCGTGTAAACGGTAAAAACGCAAAAGTTTGCTTGACAGTGAAGGTTGTACGCAGGTGCGTGGACTTGGTGTTGTTGTAGTATGCACTCCTAGCCGCCTGAAGTGCATACTACGTTGAATTTCACACACTTTTGCATCACCATTTGCACACGGATTTCCCACAAAAAACGCTCGTCTAAACGCAGAATAAAAAGTGATGACGAAACGCCACTTTTGCGTTTTCTCCTCAGAATCGTTTTTGTGTAAACATAGCCTTAGTCTGGTATACTCCCTGCTCTGTTCAGGTATTTGTTTTGTTGATGTAAAGTGATTTTGTTTACCTTATTCTCCTTTGGATTTAATAAAGGCAGTTTGTGTTTAGATATTCTCCTTTGTTGTGCGTTTGTACTCAGCCACCCGTGACACCTTTAAGGAGTCACAACATTGTAGCTAATGGGTAATTAATTTTCAAATAGTTCATCCAACAAGCACTATACTGTGCTTGAATGCCATTGAATGTGATTACAATTTGTATTCTCACACTGCGGGGCTTTTTTTACAAGGACTAATCCTTTCTCATTCTGTAGCTCACAGCAAAGTAGATTTCTGTGAAACCATGGAAACATAATCCTCTCTCTTCAGTTGGCTGTTGTTGTTTGAGCATCATTGTTGTTCAAACTAAAAAAGAGGATTCATTAAAAGTAATATAGAAAATGATTGAAAATGCTTGCATTTATGGATAAGCTGAGTTTGAGGTGATATAAATATCCTCACATTCTCACTGATTCAAACTGAATGAGGAAAGGATGTTTGTCAGATTAGAATTTCGGTTGCTTTTGTGCATTCCTCTCATCTAAAAGTCCACAGTGAATGCAAGAAGATGGTAGATTGTTTTCTCCAGATAACACAAGATGAATGTTCTTTATCGCAAATTGACTATGATAGCATCATTTCTGGTATGTTTCTTCAGCTTTAGTTTTTCATATTTTCTGCTATTATCATGTGTTTTTCGCTCCATCTTCTAGGTTTGGCGGGGTTACCGAGACAGGAGGAGGGTCAAAAAGGAGTATCTAGAGGAGATGATATTTTTGGGAATGGTAAACACCTTGCTCTGCCAAATTCAGCTAACAGGAAATATTCTCAGATTTTTAGCAAACATTCTTCCAGAGTGTTATTGGGTCTATAATAAAATTAATTTTCTGAAACGTTTTATTTTGACGTTCGTTTAACAGTACTCAAAAATGAAAATTCTGTCATTTACACACCCTCAAGTTATTCCAAATCTGAATGAATTTCTTTCTCCTTACACAAAAGAAGATCATTTGAAGAATGTCGGTCACCAAAGAGATGATGAGCACCATTGACTTATATAGTATGGGGGGAAATGCAATGGAAGTCAACAGGGCCCATCAACTTTTTGGTGATCGACATTCTTCAAAATATCTTCTTTTGTGTTCAGCAGAGGAAATAAATTAATTAACAACAACAAGTAAATTATGACATATTTTTTTGGTGAACTATGCCTTTAAATGTTACTACTTGTTTCAGAACATTAAAAAGTAATGTTTCCAAAATATCTGCAAAACATAAAATAGAATGTTCAATTAAAATTTGTATAACCAAGAAAAACATTCAGGGAGCATTCAGAAGCTTTAATAACTTAATGGGAACTTTAGCAAAACATTCTTAGAATATATTTTTTGTTAGCTGGGAATATTCTGTTCTTGAAAAGCAAGTGTCTTCATGAAGTTTGATGTTTCGTACATAACTTTTGGTCAAACCACATTCTGAACTTTTTGTACCCTTATTGTCAGTTTTTTTCATCTCTTGTCTACTGGTGCCCTATTTCCAGATACCAGCCCAGCAACCAACACCTACCCCTGCCCAATTGCATGCCCATCAGCTGGAAAGTAGGAGGCATGGGATGCAGGAGGAGCATGAGGCTGAGTACCAGAGGGCACTTGTCAACATCAAAGAGTCAGTGCAATGTGTGGATGGCCCAGATATTAAAGAAAGCCTGCAAGAACAAATAAGGCAGTGGTTTATTGAGTGTCGGTAAGCCATACACAAAAAATACAGATACCAATTCCAGTTTAAGCTGGATTACATTTTAGCTTAAAAAAAATATAATTACATTAAAGATGATAGGTGGGTGAAAGACATGATGCAATTTTTTTTGTCCTATTTATTCCGAAAATAAATGTATAATCCAGTTCATTAATACAATCCATCTATGATTCAATTTCTTCACAAAAAAAACAACCTTTTTGTTATAAAAGAATTAAAGTTTGAAAAGAACCCATTGTTAAGTAGTTCAATATTTTATTATCATTTATTATAAGTAAAAAATATAATATTTAATTAAGCAACTGCATGTTAATATTCAAAAATTGACTATAAAATCCCTATCGTCAGTTAAAAAGGCTGATAATTTGACATTATGTGGTGTGACTCTCCCTAAAAAGTAACTAGATTAATCATTCTTGATGATGAAAAATACTTTCTATCTTGGAAAATATTTATATGTCCAAAAAGGATTAGGATGTTTACACATGTATTCAATAAGGAAAATACTTTTTACTTGATGGTTACACCACATGACATTTTTTTTAATTGAAAATGGTATTAACGTTTTTCAAAACCGTATGAAACCAATATGGATAAAAAATAATGCATTTATTGGAACTTGGCCCATATGTTTTAAATTGATTTTTTTTTTAAAGATATTTCTTTATCATGGAGAAGTATAATTAAGTAACTGACAAACTGTGGAAAAAGTGCAATAATATTTTTCCACTTGAAATAAAGACTTTTTGTTACTCAGCATTCCCTCAATTACTTTCGCATATCTCTGGAACTAATCACCTCTGTAAGCTTCTACCACTCAGACTTCCCCTTTAGATAATCTGTTAATTTGCTTCTAAACGCACAAGAGATTTTCCTTGCTTTCTCTCAACCCATTATTTCACACTTAATTGTAAAGTACATTCCTGCTCCTTCGTCTCTTCCTTTTGTGCAGAGGCTGGAATGTAAGCAGTCAAAGCGATGGTCACTTTTACCCAGGGCTGTTTTCGCTTACCTAATGCATGTGATATTTTCAAGTGTGCCCGGTGTAGAGTGAGACTGGGCTTATTAGTGCATTCCAGCCTGATTTACGGCCTGCCAATGCATTCTGCTGCCCATTAATGCCTTAATGACAACAGTCATAAGTCATCTCAGTTGGACAACACAATGTGTGTGTGGGGAGGGGGGGGAGGTCAGTAGCTTTGTCTCCGTTTATCGGCCCCTTTCTCTGGCCCCTTCCATTGACCTTGCTGGGTCCCTGCTTGTTGTATAAGGGATGTATGGGATCCCAGGTCAGGACCCGCAAGGTGAAGTATGTTGGCGTGGTTTCCATGTGCTGTTGAAGTGAAGGTGGAGTATTTGAGCAGACAGCCAGACGTTAGCTGTAAAACATATAGCCGTCTCGCCATTATAAAATCTTTCACCCTCTTAACAGAGTGCAACAGTCGGGTTCCAGTAGTAAAACATGAATTCATTTTCTTGAATTCATTTTCTTCTTTTTAATGAAAACCTTTAAAGACAGACTTTGAGTTCTGAGGTTTTTTGGAATCAATCGGATATGATTTTGTTGAGGCCATCCGTTCGCATTTTTTCAACTTATTTTAAAAAGGATCGTGTTTTACAGTTAAATTTGTGTTGAAAAACTACATTACCCATGGTTCTGTACAGACAAATCCACCAATTATAGAGTCGTGACGAGAAAATCATGTCCAAGAGGCACCACAAATGATGTAATTGAGTCTTGTTATGCAGTTAAATTACTTATTAGCATTTATACATATTTTATATACATATATATGCATAATCAACAACTGTAAATTAGTAATTGTACATTTAGCCATCATTTTAATTTGATTATGTCATTTGTAGTGGTTTGTGGGATTGTAGTTCTTTCACTTACTATAGCAGTCTTGTACTTTTGTCTTTTTTTATGATTTTTAAATACTTTTTTGCTTTAAATAAAAGTTTGTAAAGCTATGATTCACCTCATAGGCTGGTTTCATGGCTTATAACAACTTAATAAAGACTTTTTATGAAATCCAAATGGGAAAACGAATGGAAAAAAATACTTCCATAATCAACGCCACTGAAAAAGTTGAAAGTCATGCACATAGTCCCAAAGTGCAGAACAAAGCGGCATAAAAATAGCTTTGTCGCCTAGCCATCAATCAGATGAACAAAATGCACAGATGACACTTTTTTATATATTTTATTTTTATTGGATTGTTTATTTTCTGTGTTTATATTACAAATGTGTGGATATAACTCAAAACAAATCTACCCATGGGTACAAATAAAAGGAACTGAACTGAACTTTACACTGAGGAATAGCTGAGAAAGAAATTAACAGTTTCATTGTGCAATCCCTTCATTGAAGTTTTTGAATAAGTTTTTTTTTTTTTTTTTAAAGGATGAAGTGAATCTGGTTTTCTTTTTCTTTTAGTGAGCAGATTTAGATGAACTTCAATCCCTCTAAATTACAGTAGTAGAGCTTTCAGCATGTGCTACCATATTGGAAGTGAGTTTCAGATGTGCTTCTGATTAAGTTAGCTATAAGAGAGCTAAGGCCGGGTCCTGACTGACACTTTTACCCTGTTATTCTAAACCTGCCCTAGTTCCCCTGAGAGTCAGCGCTGGACCTGGCTAATGTATCCTCCCCATGTGTGAAGTTCACAGTTCAAATATGATTGATTTGCCTTTGTTCACGCGATCTGCTTTGTTTATCTATATGCTCACACAGACGTGAAGTCTGCCTTACCTCATCTTTAAAAAATCTTTATGATAATTGTTTTTCTCACACATATATTTTGGTTGGGAATTCTGAAAAAAAAAAAGTTGAGAGGGAAATTTGAAATATGTTTATAAGTTATAGGTGTTTTTGTGTTTTTGTCTCAGTCTCTCAATAGACAGTTTTATATTTGTTCTCAATTTATTCTGGATGATTACATGTATATTTCAACTGTTTAAAATTTTTTTTTGTTGTTTTTAATTGTTTTGATGATATGTTTTAATGTCATGGTGATTTTCTTTCTCTTTTTATTTGTTTATTTATTTTTCAATTATTGTTATTTTATTAAATAATTGATAATGTTGTGCTGCTCATTTTGGCCAGGTCACTTCTGTAAAAGGGATTTTTAATCTCAGAAAGTTTCTTCTGGTTAAATAAAGGGGAAATTCAATTATTTATTTATATATTTATTTATTTATATACTGTTTTGTGTTGCAGAGATGCCACTGGGAAGTTCCCTGACTTTCCAAGCCCTGAAGATGGAGGATCTGCTTCCATATTTGCCCAGAAGACTCCAGAGCAGGTTATAAATCCGATCAGTCCATTAAATCCATCCAGAATTACAGACTCAGACAGTTACAGACTCAATTACTGTACTATTACTATATTATTTCTTTTCAGATGTATACAGCTTCTTGATACCGTACTTTTTTTAAAGATTTTTTTTCCATTAATTTTTAAATGTTTTAAAGGTTGCTGCTGAATTTGCTGCTAAGGAAGAAGAGAGGAAGAAGAAGAAAAAATCGAAAGAAGATAAGGACAAAAAGGGGAATGACCGCAAAAAAAAGAAAGAGAAAAAAGGGAAGATGAAAGGAAAAAAGGGGAAAGGAGATACAGAGGTAAGGCCATGCCTTCGTAACACCGTATCACAGTTGCACAGAAATCAATAAAGGCTTTTCAAAGTGTCTGTCTGCAGAATTAAATCAGCTGATGTGGCACATATTTGAGTATCTAGTGACTCCGATGACCTCTGTGGTCAGGCCCACACACAATGAACGACACTTCATTGGTTGAACTGCATGGAGCGTGGATAATTTGATTACAGAGCAGGTTTTAAAGAAAAAACATTGTACTTTCTCGTTAAGTGATTCCTTGTCCTTGTAACAAGACTGGGATGCAATAAGACATTGACATCTCCATTACAGGCAAGTTCCTCTAACCTAGGCTTTTTTTTGCATTGCAGTTAGATGAAAGTGAGTTTACAAGCATTCCCATCAACATCTGTGTTAGGGAGTTTTATTTGACAGGTTTCCCTTAGGTGAGAAAGTCTGAAGTTTCATTCTTACGTTAAAAAAGATGAGAGAATTATGACCTTACACACAAGCACTTGCATTGCTCCATCTTAGAAAGACATTTAATATACTCAGTACACTCATATTCTCATGCATAATTACACATTGTAAATGTGCCTGAATATCCCTGCCTGTGTTCTGTTCAGGGTAGATTAAGATGAGGAATGAATGGTGAGGATGTTAGTTTGTTAAACTCATCCACTGTCTCCGGAAATATCTGTGATTTCAGCGAGGCGATTTCACTGTGTCCTTGATAACCTCTTGCTCTCTCTATTCAGAACTCTTCCTCTGGTTAAACATAGATAGAGGTTCTGTTTTCTCTATTATGACATCCTGATTTCCTGAGTTCCTACATTTTATTTGAACCTGACAAATGGTGTATTAAAGCTTAGGCGGGGCAGACAGCCGTCTTTCATGTTGAAGTCCAAAGTGATTTAGGTTCATGTGAGGTTTTATGTTCTGTGATTTGACCTCTGAACGTCATATGCTGACCAGTGATTACTGTGAACCAGTCAAGCGATAAAAATGCCCGCTCACGCTGATTGGCTGCGTTCCGGAGGTCTAGAATGGACCCTTTGTTCAAGCTTTCCTTCATGAGAGCACCTGTAATCCTCATCGGAGAGCCAAACCCCTGATATCTGCTCACAATGAGGCCGAAAGACCAATCTGACCTTTCAAATGCTCACATCCTGTGTGAAAGCTGAGCCTTTCAATAGTTCATTAAGGAATTTTTGTCAAAGCTCTGATGTTGGCCTAGTTTAGGCCTAGTTTAAATTTCCAAGTGCCACTCAAAGGCTCTTCGTTAAAGAAAAAATAAGTACCAAATACATAGTTTACAGAGAAAAGAATGTTTATAAAACTGTGCTTATTATTGTTAGTGAATATTTAATGTATTCCAGCTATGCTTACGATATGGCCAAAATATATTTCAAATAAATATATTTCAGGAAGTATATTCAAATTTAATATATGATTTGTTTAAAAAAAGGCTATATCTACCTCAAGATACTAACATTAGGTAATCCATGAAATACCATTCAACTAACAATGGCCATAACATTTGTTATTGTATTTATTAATATGTGTTAACATATTAAGTACACAAATACAACTATTCATTGTTAGTTAATGTTAGCGTGGGTCCATCAAATATTAACAGGACGGTGTAACTTTCAGTTTTTTTTTTATTTGCTAATGTTGAAATTAACATTATGATAATAATTATTAATTAATCTTTGTTAAAGTATTTTTCATTGTTAGTTAATCTTAACAAATGCAAGCTTACTTCTAAAGTGTTACCAGAAAATGTCTTATATTAAAAAAAGAGTACAATCAAAATGTATTTTTTATTTATATTTTGGGCGACACAGATTGAAAATATATATAAAATAAAATATAAGCAACTAAAACTTCTAAAAATATATTTGTGTGAGTAGGCATCTTAAAAGCTGTATTATCAAAGCTACATACAGTATATATATATATATATATATATATATATATATATATATATATATATGAAATTATATTTTTGCCATATAGGCTGTTGCAAATGTTTTATTACCTGACAAATTCAGATGGAGCTAAATTATATTAAACCTGGCATGAATTCATTTTACTAACATATGGTCACAGGGTTCTTTGAAATGAGCTGCTAGATCCATTTGGAAGTTCTGTCTAATGCCGCATGAATAATCATAAATCACTGCTCCCAAGCACTTAAGTGCCTTTCATATTTTCTGATGGATTTCTGTCTCTTTTGGGGGTCATTAGTTGCTAATGTAGAAATGTGTTTAAAGGAAGACAGCTTTTAAAATATACAGCCTCCATTTAGCGTATTCCTTTTAAAAAGCTTTGCTCCTGAGCAGACTCTGCGGTCTGAGTGTTTGCTTGTGACAAGCAAGCCAAACATTCGCGTGAGTATGCGAGGACGTTGATTTACTTTTAATGTGCGACCCCTAGTTGAGAGAAAGGAAAACAGGAGGCGCCGTAAATCATACTCGCAGCTTCGCGTTCAGCCCCTGCTGTGTATTCACATCATTAAAATGCCCGCGCTGAGACTGACCCCGCACCAGAGCAGTATGCAAGCACATCGCCCTGGGAAGAGCTTTGATCACATGTGTGGAATCTCAGTCTTGGCTGATTTATCCATAACTTGACTTTCATTATTTCAGAGAACTTTCAGAGAAGTTCATTTACAGAAAAAAAGTGATGATGTGCTTAGGAAGGACCCACCTTGATGCTAGCTGTCTGTTTTGCAGGAAGAAGAGAAGGGATGGAAGATGACTCCCAGTAATTTCCTTCCTACTGTAGTCGAGGGTGCCAAACTGTACAAAGGTAAGGGGGAAATGACGGCGAAAGGGTGCAGTCTGCGTGTCTGTCATTGATCATTTATGCAGCTTTTTCCTGACCAAATGACTAATTCTCAACAATGTCAACAGTGTTTGTGTGAGGTCAATGAGCGAGGGAGCTTTCATCACAGTTGTGACATGAGATGTGTCTGGAATATGTCTAAGTAACCAATAATGATAGGGCCATGTCAGTTCTCAGGTCAAGACCCGTCCAGATGGTTCCCCACCCCACATGGAGCGCCTTTCCTTTTCTCTCTCACTCTCTATACGTCTTTCTCCTTCCCCCTTCTTTTGTGACTACAGATAAGTTTTCTTGCCCTCTCATTAAAACAGAGTCTCCTGACGCCACATTGAAGTTCAGCTCCTCCTCGTTCTGTAATCAACAGCAGTCGTCTGTCAACTCCCCAGTTGCCTTGGTTTCACGGCAATGGCAGCTTTCACAGGCCGTATATCTAACTACATTTGTGTAGTTAGATAACGAATTTTAATAGCGAATTTTTTCACGAATCACAAATTTTTGTGTAAATCGTGTGTAAAGTGGTTCTAGCGTAAATTTCGGATTCATTATAATGTTCGTATTTTTCAATTGTTAGTTGGTACGCAAGAAATCTACACCTGCTCCCAGCCACGCGTAAATGGTGCGCTTAACATCCGAACGTTTTGCTTATTAATAAGGCTGCATTTTAATTCACCTTAATCGGGTACATATTTAAACAGCATTTTGAAAAAATATTTTATATAGTAATTATGGTTTTTCTTTTTACTTTTATTATGAGAGCCAGTAATAGATCTGGTGATCGATGGCTTCGATTTTTCCGAAGTGTTTTTTGCTGTCAAGCTTAATGTCAAACCATTTTCTTCTCACTTCTGGGACTGTTCGATTAACAGATGAAACTCCATTAACTGCATTTGTAATATGCTGCCAAGCTTCATTTTTTTAGGACCTGATACGCCACTATAAATACGCTTGAAAATAAAATGTGGCGTTTTGAATGAACTTCTGATAATTAAACTTCTGAATTCTGAACTTCTTTCTTTTTCATTCGTATTCATGTTATTATATGCCTATATACAGATGTCAGTCGGATATAATGGACCTGATTTATGGTAATTTAGAATGAACGTGCACGCGCATCCCGTTTACGACTGGTTAGAATTCATTAATACACACACACATTTCACTATCACATCTGACGTTTACGAAGTATTTGTGAATCAGAGGAGTTTTTCGGGAAGGTCTCTTTACGCGCAAATCGCTCTCATATTTACTCGTATATTTACGAATGTTTCATGAATGAGACCCATTGTCTTTACAGTAAAAAAAATCTGTAAAATTAAATATGGTAAAAAAAAATACACTGTTTCAGGAATCAGGCCTTACTGGGGGCATTTAGATGCTTGTATATTTTACAATTAATAAGTGTTTAGTCCATTAATTGACATAGTGTTAAAGGGTTAGTTCACCCAAAAAAAGTAAAAAAAGTTCCAACCCTGTAAGACTTCATCTTCGGAACACAAATTAAGTTATTTTGATTAAATCTGAGAGCGTGATCACTCCTTCATATGCTTCTAGGCAATTTCATTCTGCCGGTCCTGAAAAGTTAGTAAAAACATAGTTAAAATAGTCAAAGTGACTATAGCTCAACCTTTAGTTGTGCCAAGAAGTGACAAGAATACCTAAAAATCCCAAAAATAACAACTTTATTCAACTATTCATTTTCTTCAGTGTGGGCATCTGACATGAGTTTACGAGAGCGCCACGACGCATGCGCGTGAACTTAGAAGATGACACAGATGGGTCTCGATGTAGTGTTTAAAATGGTTCTAGTGTGCATTCCCTGGATGTCCTAATCGTAAGAAACCAACAAGTGAACATAAAAGTGCCTTACCAATGCAGCAAAATAACTTTTTTTTCCCATTCACACAAATGTCTTAAACACATTAGGCTATATGTCCTATCTGACCTGATGCTTCACTTGTGTGCCATTCTGTAATGTGTGAGGAGGGGATGTGTTTAGGAGCCATAACCCAACTTCAACATTGCCTGTTGAGCAGCGAATCAATCAAGTCACCCCTGAAACCTCTTGACAAGACAAGCATGTTAATGGCTGAGACACTACTTCCTGTTTGTGTAGAGGTTTAAGGTCGCTCAAATGGAAAAGAGAAGACTGGACTGCACTTCTGTGTTTCAGTGATCCATGAAGGCAGGGTAGAGAGCTAGATCTTAGATCTTTCAGATCCATTTGAATGTTTTTGTGTGTGTCTGTGAATGTTTGTGTCAGCAGGGAGCAGGTGAACCAGAGGTCTGCAAAAACTCATTCTGAACATGTCAGTCTAGCATTTCCAGGATAAATTGCTATGACAACATCCTGCACTGTTGCCTTGTTCAGTGATTAGAAAACTTCCATCAATAGAGTGCACTGTTCATTACACACCAGTGGGGAATTACCATAGGCAACCCCTTTTTTAGCTGTGGTCCATTACAGACCATCTCGGGTCAGCCAAATATTGTTAGATTTCTTTTTCATCTGCTCCTGCTAGTCTCATTTACTTCCTGTTACCTGAGGGAGGTCTGAGGTGTCTTTTAAAGTCAACATCTGATAAGGAAAACTGTCTTTTAAGTCACAGAATCTCACATTTATCTCACAGCTGTGCTTTTAGCTTGTAACTCTGAATGAGTCTATCATTCTTTATAGAACATAGAGGTTCACTAAAGCGCATCACCCACTTCACATCTGCTAAAGTTCTTTCTATTATCAGACCATCCACATGTATTCATCACCAGACATGTTGACGTCAAGTCACGTCAGTTGCAGGTCTTTGATGCTTAATCTCTCCGTTACTGCAGTAAAGCATGCAGAATGATTGTGCAAAACTCCTGGGCAAAAACAAATAATAAAAAATTGGCCAATTTTATTTGTCTTAATCTCAAATGATTGGTCAGGAAATTAGCTTAATTTAAGCAAATGCACTATTGAAGTAACCCTCTGATTTCTCATAAAAATGCCAAAGAATAACATTTTTGGCAGAATATGAGAAGCTGTATGTGGAGTAATGAATCACAATGAAACACGAGTTGCATGGTGATGCTCAAGAGTCTCTACCGCAGCATGGAGGAAGAGGTGTCATTCTGTGGGGAGCCTTTTCAGCTGCTGGTATTGTTGAGCTACTTCACTGTGAAAAGTATTTTAATGCTTTGGAGTACAGGAGACTATTGCACAATGGCTTGCTTCCCACAAATGAAAAGCTGTTATCTAAAGAGGAATGATTTTTCAACAAAATTCTCCTGCTCAAATTGACAAGACAAACAAGAGGTGGCTTGAGAACAAGTCCACCATAGTGAATATTTAAACTCAAACTAACTGGGAGCATTTTTCGACTGTTTATGAACTGTTTGAAGCCATTAACATTGAGTGGGACAGCACTGACTCTTTCTTATGTAAAAAGCTGTCTGCAAGTTTAGCCACACTGCTTAAACATTCACAGAAAACAAAGGGGAAGGCTATTCTGTGCTAACTTTATCTAGTGTTTGTGCAATTCTTGCAAATTTCCTGATCAGTGATTTGTGATTAAAATGGTTACGACCATTAAAAGACTACTAAATATTTTGCTTTTTTTGCCGGGGCCTCTGTCTTTCTCAGGAGTTTATTACTGCAATTATACGCAGTGCTGCACAATGATAAATGTATAGCGTTTAAAAATACTCTGCAGCACAGATATTGTAGTTAATGTACAGTAGTACAATACAAGTAAAGCTCAATTCAATAGTAGGATGTACTTCAGATTAGTGCAACAACTGGTTTGACTGACAGCTGCATTTGCGACTGTAGTAACTGGACAACAGCTGCATTGGTGTGAATACAATTGGCATGTAAACTGGTGTTGTACTGCATTGTATTCATCTATAAAACTTTTCATAGAGGTAGCTTAGGCCTACTTTTATTCATTTAGTTGATGCTATTGTATAGTACATTTTTACATTTTATGATTTTTTTTTTTACCAAGCAGATGAAACACTGTGTGCATAAAACATTCCAAATATAATATATCATTTAATATGTAATATGTTTTTTGGGATTGCGTAGAACGCTGTTTTCAGTACTGCTGTTGTACTGTGCCCCATTTATATTTACTAGTTGCAGGATATTTATTGGATATGTAAATACTTAAATATGCTACAAGTGAGTGCATGGCATGTTAAAAGTGTGATGTACATGTGTGAGTGTGTGCATGTGGAAATGTCTTTTTGACTGAGAAATATTTCAGCCAACTAGCATCTGTAACCTTACAGGAAGCGATTATATGCCCAGTCAAAGCTGCTTCATTTTTTTTCATTAAGATTTTCCTCCAAATGTCACATTGCTCAGTCTGTGGAGCAAAGGGTTAAATTCCTGAGGAATGAAGCTTAAAGGTGTAATGAAAAGCAGAGATTAGAGCTTACCTCCTAAATATTTGACATAGGTTAGTGAATAGCGATGTCCGTCTCACAATGTGCTAGTTATATCTGTTAAATTGATCAACCAAACTGCTGGCAACAGCAATGTTGATAGAATACAGTACTTTTAAATTTTAAAATGTAAGTGAAAAGTTTTTATAAAAATGTTTTTATAAACTGTATTTTCTCCTCTTATAAAAAGGAATGCAGCTAATTGTAATAAATGCACATTTGTAGTGTAGTTCAAATCTAATTAAAACTGTAATAAATGGCTACTTAAGTAAAGTTTCACTGTAAAAAAATATGGTTGGTTTAACTTTAAAAAAATGGGCTCTATGCACGGCGGTATTTCCGGTGAAGCATTAGGGATGCCCGATAACTTCCGCCGATCGTAGAGTCCAATGCAATACCGAGAATTTATATTGAATTTTATACTCCATGGTTATACTAAAGAAACGTTAGTCACAAAAACAGATAAAACAGACACCCCTCGTTGTGTTTATGCTTCTTTTTAAAATTATATTAAATAAATCTAACTATATATAAAATTA